ACGCGGCCCTCCCCAGTTCTACATCCCTCCATAGCTCCCCAGTACCCGGGGCGACCGGTCTGAACACCTCTGCTTGGTGTTCGAGGCCCCGTCCTGCTGTCCGCCCAGATGGTCCTCATCCCTGTCCTCTGCACTGTGTCCTCTGTTTGGCCACCAAACTCTTGTCTGTCAAGCTCAAGTTCCAGCCCAGCCCTTTGGAAAGGCTTCACTGTTCCCAGATCGTTTTAATTTTTTTTTGAGATGGAGCCTCGCTCTGTCGCCCAGGCCGGAGCGCAGTGGTGTCATCTGGGTTCACCTCCCAGGTTAAAGCGATTCTCCTGCCTCAGCCTCCTGAGTAGCTGGGATTACAGGCACGCATGACCACGCCTGGCTAATTTTTATATTTTTAGTAGAGACGGGGTTTCTCTATGTTGGTCAGGTTGGTCTCAAACTCCTGACCTCGTGATCCGCCTGCCTTGGCCTCCCAAAGTGCTGGGATTACAGGCGTGAGCCACTGCGCCCGGCCTATTATTTAAATCGATAGAGGGTCTCCCTCTGTCGGCCAGGCTGGAGTGCGGTGCCACAATCACAGCTCACGGCAGTCAGGACCTTCCTGGCTCAAGTCATTCTCCCACCTCAGCCTCCTGGGTAGTTGGGACCACAGGTGTGTGCCACCACGCCCAGCTAATTTATCTTTTCTGGAAATGAGGGTCTCACTATATTGCCCAGGGTGATCTCAAACTCCTGGGCTCAAGCAGTCCTCCCACCTCCGCCTCCCAAAGCGCTGGGATTATAGACGTGAGCCCTCAAGCGCCGCCATTTCTGGTTTCTCAGAGGGGCAGGTGAGTCCCAGGGAGACCCTGCCTTGCCTGGGGTCATGGCCAAGACTGGGGCTCAGTCTGCAGACCCACAGTCTCCAGCCCGACCTCTGTCCCGCCCCGACCACCCAAACCTCCGGGACTCAATGCCTCCTTCCAGCTGACCTTTCTTTTTTTTTTTTTGAGACGGAGTCTCGCTCTGTCACCCAGGCTGGAGTGCAGTGGCCGGATCTCAGCTCACTGCAAGCTCCGCCTCCCG